AATGTTTGGTTGGACTCACACCAATGATGTCCACTGAGGGCATAAGTACAGCAACACCATAAAGTTCGACTACCATATCTATTTATAAGCCAGCTTGATCAAGCAAGTTAGTAAAATCTATGATCAAGGTTCTTATAATTCCCAACACCAAACAGTAGAACATAAACAGCCTTAATTTAAAACAAAAAACATTATGAAAAAATTGGCGTAAAAATATACTAGGAATAATAAGAAATGATGATATATGCTCATGAACACAAGTGTAATAGCTTACTTCATTTGCATACTGCAGCACGTGTGCCAGATACTGATTTAATTCCTTATTTAGACGCTCTAAATGAACGATTAATGTCATGTAGCTGTGTTGAAACTCCAATGACAACTCAGCTTGGTTTGAAATCTGGGAAATATATTAGAAAAAGGATGTACCTTTCTTTCGGCTTCAGTGTTCAAATCCTGCAATTCATCAACACAGCGCTTTTTAACCTCGAGAATCTTCGAAAGCTTTGTCTAAAAGTGACCATAAATAATGAATAAAATAAAACAACAATGTAGGATTCAATCAAAACGTCAACTTACGACCATTACGAGAAATTTCATTGGATATCCACCATATATATCTGCTTCGTTCAGCATCAATTTACCGCGAGCATCATGATCATTAATGGAAAGAGCGGCACTTCCCATGGAAGCAGCTACGTCTCCACTACTGATAACAGGTAACTTTAATGGAAGAAGACTGCCGTGTTGATTGAAACCGCCAGACCCAGATCCTGCACCACCGGATGCTTCGGATTGACAAAGGGGACAGTCGTTAAGGTTAATATCACTAGCATGTCCCATTTTATGCTGATGCATATGATGGCGCTTGCCCTAAATACATTGTGCAATTAAGTAACTCATAGTTTAGATAAAATGTGGGCTGCAAATATATATTACCTGCAGCGCTGATTGGGCCAAAAGGCGGGCCGGACTCATGAAGAGGTTACGACTGGCTTTGTGCTGGGTCTTGTATGCAGATAGAGGTATAGTTTCCTGAGGAAAAATACTGAGAACCTCGTAATCAGGGATAGAACGAGTTCCGAGAGCAGGTTTATCAAATGTGACTCTATAGCAATGTCGAAGAGCATCAATAGCATCTACCTTCCCTGTGTAAAGACCATCAGTGGGATATCTGACTCTAAATTACACATATAATATAATAAAGGCGAGACAAACCTGGCAGTTATTTTCGTGCCTATAATGAGAGGCATAGGGACGTGCATGTCATCAGGTAAGTCACGGAGGTACTCCAACTGAACAGAACGTGTCACTTGTAACGTGCGAATTTTTTCCCTTTTTTCGTTCAAGGATCGTCGTTCTTCGTCGAAGAAAGCAGCTGAGCATCTGCGAGGCTTACCCATCAGTCTGCGAAGAAGAGACCAGTGAGCCCGAGTAAGGCGTTTAGTCTTGATATTTGGAAAATTTTCACGAAGACAAATTCGAAAGTCATTTTCCCCGAGCAATAAAGGACGATCCAAGTTAGAATAAAACCATTCATAAAAGACCCATTTGTGAGCTTTTGGTAATTTTAAAACGTTTCTTAATCTGACAGCATTTATTTGTGCTATCCTGCGTTCCGGATTAGGATAAGCGCTCCGCCAAGCGAGGTTTCCACTTATTGCTTTATGCTGAAAATATAAGATGAAACAATAAATACAGGTTTGGTAGGTTTTCGAATTCGTTGGACTGGATCTGGGTGCAAGGCTGGTCTTTGTGTAGCAAAAGCTCTGTTTTGCTCTCGACCTCGATAGTTATTAGCTGGCTGGTCGTAATATTCTTCATAATATCTACTTTTTTTTCTAATGCGTGGAGGCTAAAAATATAATAAAAATTATCTCACATTTTTACGAAATGAGCTATTATAATCGTCTGTATCGTCTAAAATGAATGATTACAATTAAATGCAAGGAAAACGAACAGTTAGTCATATCATCTGCCATCTTGAATTTGAACTACATTACATTATAACAATAAAATAAAAATACTGTTTAATACATTTTTTACACAAATTATTAAAAATTAATTTATTATTTAAATAATTAAACATTTTTAATTATTTTTAAATATAAATATTTATAAATAAGAATTTTGTTACATAATTTTGTTTATGTTATTTGATTGTTATGGTTATTATTTAGCGAAATTTTAATTTTTGGGATATATCAAATAATGTCTACAATCAAAAAAAGCAAAAAGGATGATAAGAATTTAGCCGATGATTCAGTAATTAAATTTTTATATTATTATCAGTTTGATGTATTTTCGATAGAATCTCATCAAGTTGCAACAGTCATACTTATGCTCATAAGTCCCGAAGATGATATTAAAATTAAAGCCTGCGAATCCTTGTATCGTTTTGCAGACAAATGTATGCTGATATTATCTGACTTTTTATAGCTGAAAATAATAAAAAGCTTATATATGAACTTAATGGATGTGATAAAATATTTCCATTGTTATCAAGTGAAGACAAGGTACTCAAACGAAACGCGATAATGCTTCTGGCCCTGCTATCTTGTTTGCAAGAAGCAAGATTAAAACTTAACAACCATGCTAATTTTGTAAACAAGGTTCTAAAATTATTAAATAGTGAAGGTAAAATAGTGCGTAATTTATTTTCAGAATACAATACTACTATTGAGTTTGCAGCGATGACCATCGTAAACCTGTGTAAAGATTACCATGGAATAGCTCTATTGATAGAAAATAAAG